ACACGATGATATATATATACATACACACATATACACACACACACACACACACACATATGTATATATATATATATATATATATATATATATATACATATGCAGATCCGGGCGGCCGCGGAGAATGGGTCCAGGGTCATACAATCATACCATCACCCGTGGCCGCCTTTTCTGGCCGGCCTCCAAGGTTCAAAAATAGCTGCCGGGCAGGGACTAAAAATACCCCTTTACCCTCCCACTTTCATCGAGGGAGGGAGGGTGTATGTAAAGAAAAGAAGAGAGAGAGGGAAGAAGGAGGGTAAGGGTGGCAACTTGCAAGGCCAAGAGGAATCTGGTCCCGGGAGAGCGGACACACCCCCTCCTTTGTTGGTTGACACTCTGCCCCCCCCCCCTTCTCTTAGCCCTTTGGAGGCTTGGTACTGCTGACGCCCTCTCATGGTCGCCATGTTTCATGTATACCTACCTGCCTACCGGGAAGGATGCGATATGAGCCAGCAGTAGACCATCTTCAACATGCGAGAGCAAGGTGATGAGGATAGAGGGAGAGAGAGCGCATCGTGGGCGCCAAACCCGAGCTCGAGATTCGCGACAAGCTTGGAAGTTGGTTCGTGGAGGGGGTGAGCTCGTATGACGACACCCGCCCGCGCTTATTCGTCCACCGCTCTATCCACCGTCCAAGGTCCACGATGCAGGTATGTATATATCTATATATATATATGTGTGTGTGTGTGTGTGCGCGCGCGCGCGTGTACCCGGTTGCTTGGCCGCCGTCGTCCTGCAGGAACAAGGGGACCTGGGAGAAAAGCCGGGGGGACCAGATCGCACGGCACAGGTATATCGGTATGACTTGCAGAGTGGTAAAAATAGCATGGCGACCGAAGCGCCCTGGGAGTCGTCCATCCGGCTTCTTCACCGAGCACCGTTGGCTCCCCAGGGAAATCCGTGCGGGATGCCGGGTCGACATGCATTCTCCCCCCCCCGTGAGGCTGGCGGGCCAATATCGCAGGGGCGTCAAGCGCCTTGGACCTGGCACTCGACTCCAAAAATAGGTCGAGATCGGGGGGGGGGGTGTAAGTCGGATCCGGTAGATCCCAAGGGCACCATGTAGGTTTGGCGGTTACACTGAGCTTCCTCGTGGGTGGTTTGGTGGTATATCGTTATGGTAGAATCATAGTAAGCTCGGTTCGTGGTGGTGGTGGTGGTGGTGCCTGGATGAGGTTGGATAGCGGAGGGCGCTTATAACACGGCGGCTATCTCTGCCCCTCCGGACTCGCTAATTGGCGAGGCAGGATCGGGCCTGCAGAGGACAGGACCACATGGTATTGACCGTCCCCAGGTCCCAAGAGAACCAACACTTTTTTTTATTTTTATTTTTATTCCTTCCAAATTCTATAATTGGAATCAGTGACGGGAGCCTCAAATAAGTTTCGCATTTCCGGTTTCATCCTGTTGAAACGCAAACTTACAATGACGATTGAGAAAGAAAGAAGAGAGGGACCAAAGTGAAGACAGCCGCCGCATCTCTACGAGTAAAGGCACGACGGCATCCTTCACCGATTGGGTCCTCCTGCCTGATCTGGAGTTTCCAAAACCACGCCCGGAAGCGCTCGCTGCACCTCGGCAGACCCCAGCACTCGAAACAATGGTCGGTTGGTTGCGCCGACGGGATACAAGCTCTGCCTTCGACTCATCGCCGCCGCCGCCGCCGCCGCTGCTGCTGCTGCTGCTGCTGCCGCCGCCGCTGTTTTTCCTGTTCTTCTGTTGCTCCGTGGACCATTGACCCGAGGCATGAGTCTGACCTATAGTCCACCATACTCATGCTCGTATGTTGGCTATCAACACTATTCCCAGAAGTGGAACGCCCCGACCTCTCCACCTTTTCTGTCCTCCAGTACCTAGGGCCTGGGTTCAGTGGATTGCGATCCCCGGCTGGTGCCCGCAGGAGCCTCCTCTCCCTTCGATGGCCGTCGTTGCTCACCTGCGCTGAGGCATCTGACCGATGCTCCACTCGCTTGAGCCCCTCCTTCTCCCGTCTGGTCCAACTCACAGGCAGGAATCGTTGGAGTGGTACTATCCCTACGGCTGCAGCCAACAGCAGGTAAGCGGATCGTACGGAACGGATCTGGATACTGCGCCACCTAGGGACTCGGGCTGTCCCTCTCAGCCCTCACCCACTTGCTCGCTCTGATGGCTGACTGTCAACTGTTTCCAGCCTCGAGCGGGCAGCCGTTGAGAGGCTGCAGAGAGAGAGAGAGAGAGAGAGAGAGCCGAGATGCATGATGTGCAGCATCTCAGCTTCAAAGGAAAGTGGTGACGGCATCTCAGCTGTTCGCAATTCAACCAGTTCGGCATTGTATCCTGCTTCAGAAAGGCCCGAGGGTACAGCGCCAATTGTCATCTCCACGAGGCGGGCCTCCCCGGTAGGCCGTGCGCACCCCGGGAAGAGCAGACTGTGTGCCCGGGTGCGAGCATATGCACGTGGAAAGTCAACGTCGGCGTTAATAAATGTCCGCAGAGTTGACGGCAGAGAGATGGAAGGAGATAAAAGAGAGAGAGAGAGAGAGAGAGAGAGAGAGAGGCGGGGTTGACGGCAACGGGGGGCGTTTGCGACAAGATGATTGCACGCCTGAAATCCGCGCCGGCCCTCGAGCTTCTTCTTGTGACACCTCTTTTTGCTACTTCCCTTTCCTTCGCCGTTTCATCTCGGCGGCAAGTCTCCACTCCAGGCATCGTCCGAGATGTCCTCACCAAGCTTTTCTTCTCTCTGCTCGTGGGCCGCGATGCTTGCCTCTCCCCCATCCTTTCCAGAGTAATGGCCCCAAGGCTCGGAGTCCTCTCTCCCTCGCCATCCGTTGTCCATTGTGGGCGGTGTGCCACCCAGGTTGCATCGCGGACCATGTGACGGAGCCCGTCTGGCACGGTACGTTGTACCTGTTGCAGCCGGGTCGTCACGCACATGCTGTGCGTCTGATCAGTCTACCAATTTTTCATGGCTAGGTAGGGTGTCACGGTGAACCAATCACGCCGACGAGGTGAGGGAATCAGGGAGGAGGCATTGCATGTCCGGCGGATAAAGCGAAGGCTTGGCGGACAAGCGCCCCCCCCCCCCCCCCCCCCCCCCCCCCCCCCCCCCCCCCCCCGTTGTCTTGGTCAGTCACTTGGTCCGTCATCAGTCTTTCTCTCTCTCTCTCTCTCTCTCTCTGTCTGTCTTGTCGGCAAGACTTTCATCAATGTGCTCACGGTCGGGTCCTCTGCTTGCCCTTGCAAACCTGGAACAGCAGATCTACAGAGCATTGCCGGACGTGTCGGCTGTCATCGAGGTCTAGGCCCCTGCCGGGCTGCCAGAGAGTGTGGCCCTGGCGTCTGTCGAATATCCTATTTATCCTTCTGCGGTACTATGCATCACTTGTCATTTACGGTACTGGAACGAGTGCGTAGAGTACGCACGAGAACCCGTACTGATACGCTGTAGGTGTCGACATGTACGGACAGTGGTGAGCATTACCCCGTGGACCGTGGTGAGATCGAGGTTGCACGCAGCTTGATATTCTTGGGGGTGAAGAGGCTACAGCAGCCATCGTGGCCATGCGGTGGAGCTACACTGTATTGCTCTACGTACGACGTACGGCGGCACAACGGCAGGTACTGACGACTGGACCTTGTTGCTAACGGACCGCCGGACAGCGACAGCCGCGGGGACCCATGCAAGTAACACGGCGCCCTTGTTAGGCGCGAGGGGGCCCAAGTTGTCGAACCCCCTGCCTGGCCATGGCATTGGTTGGTGCGGACAACGCTTGTGTGGCTGGTGTGGTAGTTGGTGGTGGTGGTGGTGGTGGTGGTGATGGTGGTGGGGTACTGCGAGTACCACCAGTGCGTCGCACTCGGAGTACCGAGTACGTACCGACGGTACCGCTGTGTGCCATGGTCTGTTTTTTTTTTGGCCTGATCGTCGTTGCATGTACGGCAGCGCAGCGTTCAACAAGATTGAGACGCACACGCACATATACTCGTACTTTGCTTCCCAGTCACGGCGGCGGAGGTTGCGGAGAGGTACGTACTCGTCGTAATATCGGCGTTGTGATCCTGGGCGGAACTCTCCGCACACCCTCTCAGGGCGAGCAGCTCACAACTCGGCATTACCAGTCTGTGCGTCACGCGATGATCTCGGAGTCGATTTCTCCTTTCCAGTTGGTTCTCGAACGTTGTTCCATCAGGGCACTTGCGAAATTGGCTGCCGGATCCAAGAGCCAATCTTGTTTTCGCGTCGTATCTGTTCGAGAAGCACGCATCGTGGCATCGGAGCAGGTGAACCGCCGTCGACAACGGCATATACGACGTACCATTACCACGTATCAGGTACTCGGTACGAGTATGGCCACGGACTCAGTGGTTGGACGGGCGGCCAAGCCTGAACGTGGCAACATTCTCGTACTGCAAATAGAAATAGCATCTTGGAAGAGGGTGTACGGAGTACCATATACCAAGAGTCCCCGCGCCAGATGAAACTGGCAAGTGTCTATCTTGCCTCCGAGTCGAGCTTCGCCGACCGTGTTCATTGGCCAGGGGCGGTGGTGAGCAGGTGGATGCTCATGCCGCAGTCCCATGCGCCGTACTGGCAAGCGTACAGAGCCGTGGCGCTAATGCTGGGGATACCTGTGGTTGCCGTCTGTAGGTGGCGATGACGGCAATGACGCTCAGCAGGTGGCGGCCGCGGTGGTGGTGACAGTGATGGTGGCGGTGGTGATGGCGATGACGGATGGGGGTCGACGAGGCAGAGGCTCTGGAGGAGTAGCAAGCGGATTCAGAGGCTTGCTGCCCTGTGAAGACAAGTGAGAGGTGGGAGAGGTGGGAGAGAAGCTGTGAGAGATCTGATACGTAACTGGTAGAGAGTGTTATTAGAACATTCCCACTCGTACATATGACATGTTGAGCAGGAGACGAGAAGGTGCAGATGGAGATCAAGGCATGTTACTCGTACCTGTACCTGCCCGGCGAAGCCCTTGTCTAAGCACGGGCGTGTGGTACGTATAGGGCAGGCGCGATGCGGCTTGTAAACGCGGGCAGGTGTAAGGTCAGTGCCGAACAGGGACAGGAGCAGTGGTGGCATTGCCGTGAGTGCGACGGCCATGTACGACTCACGAATATCATCACGTCGTAGATCGCCGTGTTTCTATTATTACCATCACGGTACGAGTGCTACTGTATGAGGGGTACCCATCTGTGTGCGAGTGCTGATACAGGTAATACTGCTCGTGGCACTCGATACCAGCATCATCAGCAGTAGCAGCAAGAGCAGCAGTAGCAGCAGTGATAGCAGTAGCAGCGTTACATGTACTCGTAATACTGGCATCTGAGGCCATTCATAGGCAAAGAATACTTGTCACCGTTATTAGCATGCCTATATCCCCCAGACCGCAGCGTCTGCAGCGTCTGCACGTACTGCTCCAGCGCCGCGACAGCTACTCGTAGGTACCCGTGGCCGTACAGCATTTCAAGTTCTGTACGTATTAGCGACCGCACCCCCCTACCACCCTCTACCCCCCCCCCCCCCCCCCCCCCCCCCCCCCCCCCCCCCCCCCCCCCCCCCTTCGGAGGGCCCCTAGAGATGCCCCTAGAGAGAGGCTCCTACTGTAGGAGCATGTGAGGTCCCCACTCCCAGAGAGCCAGGGAGGGAGGGGTGTACGATTTGGGTAAGCGAAGCGCCAACCACAATAGCCGCCTTGTGCCAAGATGGGTGAGAGCAATATTCTGTACGGGCAGCTACGAGTATTACAGCAGTACTACGGGCACCCAGCAAATATCGCCGTGAACATCAAATATTGCCAGGATTGCGAGCACTATTAATTGCAGACCTGTATCGTTGTATCGTGCGTCAGAGCGCCACATCTTCCATGGAGGAGGTGGTGGTACTGACCGAGGCTAGACCCAGACAGCGAGCTGGCGCGCGCATGCGCCGACACTGTAAATATAGGGGTAGTAGGCCTCAGGTACACGGCTAGCTGGCGAGGCGGTGATGGCAGAGTGATATACATGTACGTATAGCTGCGAGTAGGGGAATTGAGGAGGAAAATGAGATGAAGAAATGGCGCTGTTGAGCTATTCGAGGCACTCGCTGTACATGTATAGCTCGTAGACTGCTGATACCACCACTACTCCGTGCATATACTCCTATAGACTGCTACTACCACCACCACCACTGCTACTACTACAAGTTCTGCTCATAGTCATGACGGGGTTCGTTCGTATGCATACACGTAGTCACCACGTAACCTCTAGAGGGTTTTTTTTCCCCGTCCACCCCTGTCCTTGCCGTAGCAAAGGGCAGAAGAGGACGCCAGAATACTTGTACGGCATCCCCGTGTATCACGGGCACCAGAGACCCAAAGAGAGAGACGAGGGTACCGCAGCGCGCCCTGCCCTGCCATCTGTTGCCCACGCTGTCCCTCACTGCCGTGGAGCTGTAGTGGTGGTATTGCATTGTTACTGCTATGATACCCCGTAGAGCGTCGAAGCATCAAGACATTGGAATACTCACATCGTCATCACCTGCTAATATCAGTACTACTACTACTACTACTACTAGCAAATGCCCATCATGGATCTAATACCCGTGGCGTTGATTGAGAGCGCCTATCCAAGCCCACCCACGCCTCTCGTCTTCACGCTTTTTCCTCGCCATCATTATCCGTCATCATCCACGATCCACACAGT